CCCCTTTTCCAATCTTCGAAAAGAAAAGTTAAAAGTATCTTCCCGACTGACGTCACGGCGATTCAAATAGTTTCGAATGGGGCGGGGGCGCTCACGTTTCCTTTTACACTACAGCGCCATTTGCTGGGTTGGAACGCCCCATTTGGTTACATACCGACCGACAGGAACACTTTCACACAACCATCATTTCAAAGTGATCATAGTTTGATCTTTTGAGTTTGAGTAAAGAGAGGAACATCAACGCAGTAATGGCCATGTAGTGCTGGGGATAAGTAAGACCAGGATACGTTTCGTTTTAGTAAGAGTTTTACGGCACTTGCAACACCATAAGGTCATATAAGAGCCGAAGATTAGACGTGTTACAAGAGAGTAACAAACACAAAAAAGGAGAGATAGATGTTTGATAGGAAAGAAGAAGCAGGACAGACAGAAACTACAAAGGGACAGAAAAGAAGTAGGACGTCCCAGTGCCCCCCCCCCTTTTTTTAAAACCACGCTTGGAAGTAATTATTTTCAAGTAATCAGTTCTAAGTTAAAATTTAGATAAAAGAAATTGACTTTTTTCTAGCTCTTTATTTCATAATGTGACTGCTGTGCGGCAGCCATTTTGTCATGTGGTCCAAATATTATAAACAATTATATAAACATTCCATACAAAAAAGAGGGATAGTAGTGAGACAGATAGATATACAAACAGACAGACAGACAGACAGACAGACAGACAGACAGACAGACAGACAGACACACAGACAGACACACACACAGACACACAGACACAACGGTAAGAAGAAGTAGGCAGGGAGGCATGTAGTCAGTCAAACAGAAAACAATAATTGGTCTCCACACGGAGCCCTCCGACGACGACCCAATAATTTAACAAGCCTAACAAGCCTAACAGGTGTAAGCATGCGTGTGATAAGGCCTGCACGTGCACCCTCCACCATTGATTCCTACCAGGAACATGTGTGTGTGTGTGTGTGTGTGTGTGTGTGGGTGGGTGGGTGCGCCTGCGTGTGTGCGCACGTGCGCGTGTGTGTGCGTGTGACTGGTTTAAAGGGCTGAGGGGGATACAAAATCCAGCAGAAAGACCGATACACTCGATAATACAAATTCTCCCAACTAGGGTATCGAACTCGGGTCTCCTGTGTGCGACACAGGAGTGCCTAACTGCTACACCACTAACACCGGTGCGCCTCTCAGAGGAAGCACATGATACAGATGGATCCATTGACAAGCAACATTAAAAAACCAACCTGTAGTGAGATAGAAGAATGTGCCTAAGGAGAAATCAGCAACAAACGTAACTCGAAAAGTTTATCAATAGAAAGACACATGTTAGTGTCAATGTGACATCGCCAATAACATACATCTGGTCGTTAGAACAAGTTGGGAAAATTGGCGAAAAGACAGGGGGAGAGAGAGACAGAGAGTCATTTTGTTGGGTAGGGGGGGGGGTGAGAGAGATTGGTTAGAGGGAGAGACATGAGGATAGGAGTGAGAAAGGA